CTCGACAATATGCGTTTTTGCTGGCTGTAGCAGCGCTATAGCTGCACAGCAAAAACGCATAAAAATGTCAGGCCAGTGGAAGTAACGGCGCAGCGATAATTTCACAGACTGTCAAAATTTTTACAAAAATTTTCATTGAAAATTTTTATTGTTTTTGTAAATCACTGGGGATTAAGTTTCAGGATTTGATTTTATCAGCTGTGGCCGTCTGATTACCGAACATAAGTTGCATTGCGGATATGATGGTGAACTGGAAACTTACATCCTTGATGAAGACAGATTATTGGATCATATTGAAGTAGGCTTATCGGATGTTATTTCAGTAAAATTCGGGATTATGCTTATTTGATCTGCTTTGTATGATATCATTAACTCCTCCCCCTTCCCTTCCTCCACCTATTCCCCTCCCCCGGTCCCCCGCCTTTTCCTCCCCTTCCTCTATTTTCCTCTCTGCGAAAGGCGCAAGCACCTGGAAGTTCTAGGTTCTAGCTACTGAGACTTCTTGCGATCTTGCTACAGCACGAAATAGCTTACGGACCAGCCTGGTGCGCGTCGTCAGTGATTCCAAAACTTACTGTTCCTAAGCCAGTTGTAGCATCCATGTTGATCTAGGGTGCCAAAATAAGGAAGGTGTATAAGCAGAGGAAAAAATAGGAGGAAAAAACAATTAAGACATTTCGGTCCATTAAGTCATATACATCTTAGCTCAACACCACGACTGGACCTCCTAAACCGCGGTGAGATATCTTACCGATTGTGAATTGGCATTCATGGATACCTCCAGTATTTGATGGGTCGTGTTTCAACCAAGCATTGATTAGCTCATACATCATGAATTAAGTAACTGTTATGCTTTTTTTTGGTATTTTTGAAAAATTCCACTATCATTCTGCTAGTGTTTTATTTCAGAGACGAATGGATGATTTGAGAGGAAGATGTATTGTAGAATACCATGGAGCCGAACTGTTTCCCCAGAGGTGGTTTGATTTTGTTTTTGTATTACGATGTAACAATACGGTGTTATATGATCGGCTGGCTGCTCGAAATTATAGTGATAAAAAAATCAGAACAAATATTGAATGCGAAATATTTGAAGTGCTGCTGGAGGAAGCCCGAGAATCATATGATGTAAGTACTGCTTGTGTTTTTTCTTCCAAGTTTCAGTTTTTTTTTTTTTTTTTTTTTTTTAATAAATCAAGCAAGCATATTTTGGGAATTGGATTGGAAAGGTGGTTTGAGCATCAGAAAGGTACATTAACAACGATTGAAATATGAAGAAAAATCGAAGAGAAAGATGGGAAATAAGAATTAAGAAGTTAGTAAAATCAGAGGAATTATTTTAATAAAATTATTTTTTTGGCAACGAAATGTTTTGGTGCATTAAGTCGTATACATTTCTTACCATTACCACAATTGGACCTTGTCAGTACGACGATTATGGTAATTGTAATTGGTATAAATTAAATGTCAATTTAAATTAGTTGTATGTAAAGTATGTTAGTAAAAGTAGAAAGCATATATTAGTAAAAGTGGAAAAAGTTATAAAAAATGAGTAGCCATTTATCCCTCATGGCTAGCATAGTTTTTGCTCGTAATTATCGTCCGTGGAACAAGAATGATGCTGTAGGAGCATAACGCATGGGATAAGAGAAACTGGACCTGGAAATTAAGACATCTAAAGTAAAAATAATGCAAAGTGCCAGTATGCTTACAACCAAATAGCAAGTAAATATTGTTATTTTGAAATATATTATAATCGTAATTTTAATTTTAGATGATGTGTGTTTACGTAAAAAGTAAAGATTAAAAAGAAGGGAATAAAAGAAAGGTGAATAAGATAAATCGGATTAAAAACCTGAATAGGTGTCTGTTACGGCCAGGAAATGTCTGTTACGGCCAGCAAATTAAATATGCGCCATAATCTCCAGTCGGAGATTGCACTCGGAGGGGCTGCTAGATGGCACAAATTCCACAGCATCGTCGGAAGTTGTTCACAAAGTATTGAACTGCAAGGTTTTTGCTCACATATTCAGTATCACTGGGTTGAAGGCAATGTCATATGGATACGAAACGTGATCACTGAAACAGAAAAGCATTGATTTTTGTGACGGAGAGAACGATGGAGCGAATGAATCTTGGCTTTTTTCTGCATGACAACCACATAAGCAATCAGACTTTCCGTCAGATGAGCATAGCCATTGTGATCACACACGGACATGTTGTTCGCCTTGCCGACAGTCAGTGAACGTCGGGTATTTATGAGTATTTATGAGTAGTGCGTCGGGTATTTATGAGTAGTGAGAAAGCAAACGACCACTGGAATTGCCCTCGAAGCAAGAAATGCCAGCCAAGGATTTGGATTTCAACATGGAGAATTGTCCCGGAAACATCACCCATGTAATATATCCCCACACCGGGATTTCTTGTGTGGATTAGTAATCAATGATTTTTTTGGAAATTAATGTACAGGCGAAAATTTGCAGGAGAAAATAGTATATGAATTACAAAACGAAAAGCCAGATGATTTGTCGAAAAATTTGGAATTTATTTGCAATTTGATGTCGCAGTGGAAGACAACATAAAATTGTTGTTGCTGATTTTTATCCATGTTTTTTTTCTTCGAAAATTATGTTTGTTTTGTTGCTTAAAAATGCATAATGCGAATTTGAACAGGAAAATATGCGTTCCAGTACCATTCGGGCCATTGGCGGATCCAGGAAGGGGGAGGGGAGGAAGGACGAGAAGCCTTTAGCTTCCCCTCCTAGGGGCTCAGGTTGCAATAATAAAAGTGAAGAAAATTGTCTTAGACATCACTGGTCCCTCTCCTCTGCCCAGGAGCCTCACTTTCTTTTTCCCCTCTCGTCCTTGCCACGGAGAGCGGTGATCAGAGGGGGGAGGGGAGGGGGAAACTGTGACGGAAGGACCAAGAGCTGGGGGAGGGGAAGGGTAGCGGGATGACCGAGAGGATGGAAGGTGGGGAGGGGGAGGAAGAGTTGGACTTTCGATGCAGTGACGAACGAGAGG